ATTAACATTCGTTCATTGATTTCTTGTTTTAGTCCAATGTATCTTCAATCTCGTTGTTCAATTACTTCAACGACCAGTTTACTTCCTCCACCTATTTCAACTGTGTCAAAAATTATCTTTATAATTGATGATATTCATTTTGCTGATGAAAGTTCTCTTAAACATTTACTTACATTAGGTAGTCATAGTAAATGTTTATTAATTCTTTCAATGAAACCACCAAGAAATAATCATAATGATGGATCAATATCAACTACTTTACAATCAATAAGTACAGATTCACGTGTTTATCTTCGTCGTTTACCTGGTTTAGAATTACGTTATTTAGCAACACTCGGTAAGAAAAAACAACAACAAATGATTTATTTAAAAATTTCTTTTCTTTTAATTTATATTTTCTTCTAGGATGTCAAATATTATCTGTTCATCGAATTCCAGCTAAACTTGTTAAAGTATTTAATGAAAGTTGTAATGGTATTCCTGGTTTTTGTGAACAAATCTTATTTGATTTATTAAGTAAAGATAAAATCTATATTGTTGATGACGAGAATAATAATTCATATAATGATGATTCAAGTTTAATTGAAGGTGATGCTGATAAACTTTTATTAAATAGTCAAATAAGAATGGGTTTATTTAAAACATTTTTTTCACGTCGAAGACAACAAATAACAAATGAACAATATCAAAATGAACGTGCTTTTTCTCGTATATGTTTATTACGTAATCCAATTGAAAATGATTTTAATGCTGATTGTCAACAAAATTTTCAAAATTATATTATGTGTCGTATTGATCGTTTATCTGAAGGTGAAAGTCTTCTTGTTAAAATAGCTACTGTTATTGGTAATACATTTTCACGTACATTTTTATGGCATTTAGTTGATCCAAAATCAAAACAATTAATTAATATTCATTCATGTATATTAGAAATGATGCAACGAACAATAATTGAATGTGCTTTTAGTAAACAACAAATAACAAAAACACGTTCAATTAAATGTTATTGTTTACAAAATCCAGCTGGTTTTCCATCACAATGTCGTCTTATGGCATTTACACATTCAACAATACGTGAAGGAATATATAATTCATTAACAGATGGTTTAAAACGTTTATTAACACGTAGTGCTATTGATTATTTAGAAAAACAATGTAATGTTGTTTGTTTAACATGTGCAGCAAATAAAAATGATAGTCCATTTCTTGTTGATGAACATAATGGTTTAACTAAAATTATAAAAATTAGTCAACAACATGCTTTTGTTGATATTGTTAAAATGGCTGCATTAAAAGAAATTGATAATACTATTAAAAAATTATCAAATTTAAATGATTCACCAAGATATTCACGTTCGAAAAGATTATCACATGCAGTACATGAATCGGATACAGAATTAAATGAAAATG